AACGGGCCCTATGTGCTGATATCACCCTGCTTCTTATCTCACCCACAGTAGGGAGGGAAACAAAGAAGAGGAACTGTGAAAGGAACCCAGTCTCTTGTGGCATCACATTTAAGGGCTGCTGTTCCCTCTGTGCTTCTCCAGGGGTCTCGCATTTCACTTCTAGTCATGTAAACATGATGCATCAGTTGTTTATTCTCTGTCACCTAAAGCACTTGAAGAAATGCAGAAGTCTAGAACTCTTGGTTCAGAAATGATACCTCTTATTAGACCAACTAAGAAATTGCAAAACAAAATTATCTTTTTTTTTTGCAAGATATTGGGCTCAAACACCCTTCATCAGGCTCTGGGAGAATTAAAGATGGTAAAAAGTCCCCACAGGTAGGAAATAAACTTGCACAGAGGAAGCTAGAGATGGAAAATCTGTCCCTCTGGGTCTATGAGAAAGTCTCTGAGAGTTGTTCTGAGTTGCTCTTAGTTGTGTAGATCAGGTAGGATTCTTTCCCTAAAGGTATCAAATGGCAAGCAGGGAGGTTTAAAAATCTTTCTTGTTGTTCTGCAATGAACAACTCACAGAGACACTCTCATGGACCCAGAGGGACAGGTTTTCCAGCTCCCTCTGGAAAAATGAATTTTATTTCCTACCTATGGGGATTTTTTACCATCTTTAATTTTCCCAGGCCTGATGAAGGGCGTTTGAGCCCGAAAGCTTGCAGAAAAAAGATGATTTTGTTTTGCGATTTCCTAGTTGGTCTAATAAAAGGTATCATTTCTGAACCAAGAGTTTGAGGTGTTTGCATTTCTTTTTGTCTCAGACCAACACGGTTACCAAAAACACCTAAAGTACTTAACACTTACATTTCAAGAAGAGCAAAGATGGACAGTGCTTTTTCATGGAATGGTTGTAATGAGGCTGAAAAACTATGAAAAGAGGGCTAAGAGGAAGAGTGTAGATGCCTAAAGCTCTAGTACTAGAGGGCCACTCAGCACAGACCTGAATTTCACAAAGGGTCTCAGCTGTGAGCTGGCAGCCCCATTCCATGGCCATGGTGGGATGTACAGTATATATCACTACTCCCGTCTACCCCTAGAGGTCTTGCAAGGTTTTCAGTAGGAAGGCTTAGATGCCCCAACAAGTCAGTCCATATTTGTTCTATTAGATGCAGTCTAAAAGTCTGCCTCTTTATTTTCCTTCCTACACCTTGTAGTTACACAGACCATGTGACTCAGCTCACATCCGGGCACCTTTTGAAGCTAATGGGATTCTCTGGGTAACTGGAAAAAACACAATCAGAATGTCAGGCTCATTTGGCCCTTGGGCAGCCATCGCTATCTGTTGATGGTAGCTTGGCTCAGCACGCTGGAACAGTACAACCATCCATAAAGACTCTGGCTAGCAAGGAAGGACGGTCCAAACCTGTGCTTCACTACAGACTTCTTCTGGAGTATCAAGGGGTCAGAGGTGTGACCAACACACCTATACCAGTAGAAATCCCTGGCACCAGTATACTTGCACCAGCAGAAATATGCTTTCAGTAAAAGTGATAGCCTATCTTGACCTGGGTGGATTGTTTTTCCTATATAATAACAGAGTACAACTTTGTATTTATACCTGCATCTATGCCAGTGTGGCCTATTGGTATTCTTGTACAGATGAGTCACTCCTGCGACATGGTGTGGATCCCTAGAAGAAACCCAGGAGTCTCAGCATTGCTGTTGACAGTCCCTGTCCCTGTCAAAGTGAGCTTTCCTCAAAGGAGTGAGTGCAAAAAGCAAACTATATTAAAATCTCCAAATATGAATATTGCTAGCAAATAATTAATGTATCTAGATAATGTGTTCATCTAATACTTACCAAATTAACAGACATAAGCAGTTTTAAAATTTATAATCCCAAGAGTTCCTAACAGGTGACCAGTTTGTTAGAGAGATCTTATCCAAATTTGGGGACAGGGTTGTAAGAGGTGCTGGATTTTCATTCCATCTGAAGACAAGAACTTCAGAAAAAGATGGCAAAGCAACACAGCTTAGGGCTGTAACCCTCCCTTTGCAAACAAACACTTAACAAATGACTTGGTCATAACAAATGTGCTTAAAAAGAAGATGCCCTTGTGATGCAGCTGGAAAGCCACTAATCAAGATCTAGTGTCCTAAACTCGACAAAGCCTCTATTAGCATGTTCCTTGCTTGCGACTCAAAGTTCCTTTTATACCGTTTTTCTTAACCTTGCTCACTCTTACTTGGTCTGACTTAAATTTTAAAACAGCCTGAAGCCTACTAAAGAACTATGGTGGAAGCTAAAACATAACCCAAAGCTCTACGCGGTCCAGTAATCTGTACGCATGCAGCTTCCTTCTTCATGACTTCTTGCCGAACAAGAGCACAGTGCTGCAGCTGTGGCTTTTAAAGCTACAGCGGCAGCAAAAAACTCCATGAATCCTTTATGTTCAGCAGTTTGTTATTTATGACTGCTGAAGAATTATGTCTTTGTTATACTTCAATTAGACACACTTGGAAAAAACAAGAATTTACAGTTTCAATATTATACTAGGGACAGCATTTTGTTGGTTCATAAAAAAAAGGTACCTAGCAGAATGCCTATAGGTCAGGAATAACTGGCCCTAAATTAGCCAGGCTGCTGCTATTTTTATTGTAGTATTACATCCTCTGAAGCAGAGGTTCAGCAGACTTCCACATCAGCTTTCTTAATAGTGGGCTTAAGATTCCAGCAGTCAGAGCCTTATTAAAAGCTGGTGTTGCTATAATGCACAATGCTAATGATGTTGAATAGTTCGGAAGAATGAAAGCACCTGAACCCCTCAAGTATCAGCAATCAAGAGCCTCTTGATATTTCTACTAAACAAACTGGAAACGGTGGGCCTCTGGTCTCCCTTGTGAACATATGCTTTTAAATAGAAGACTGCCTAGGAAGTCCAATAGTTTTTTCACAATTCCTTTGAATAGTATTCCAAGCAAGGAAGGTATTCCAAGACTATCCACTGCTTCAGGAGGCTGTGCTAGTCCCTATGGAATATGGACTGTTTTCTAAGGTGCTATGCATGTCTTTAGAGCGGTGATTCTCAACCACAGTGCCTTGAGATCCTTTTAAGGGTGACGAGAAGTGGCATACAATATTAGCACCGTTATGTGCGTGGTTCAAAAGATAACCCCAGAGCCTTCAAATAGGAATCCACAATATTCTGACCTGTTGTGGTCGTTCTGAGTTTTTGCAGCAGCTGAATTGCTCTATTATTCTTCCATAGTTAAGAAATGAGTGAAAGCTATGCACTGGCATTTTCCAAGTGCTTCTTTGAGCCTGATGAGGGGTACTTTGAGTCTCAAAAAGGTTGAGAAACACTGCTCTAGGGGAAAACTTCACCAAGTAGAAGGTACAGGTTTGTGGGTCTGTATAATTCAAAGCAGTCTCTCTGTTCTTAATTGTAACTCCAGTAAAAAAAAACAAAACAGGGCCTCTGAAGCTGTTTTCATTGTGAATTTTTGCTTTAGCAAAACTAGCAGCAATGAAGGCCATAGCACCCCAAACCTAAGAATCCTGTGTGCACTATTCTTCACCC